TTTCCCATACACACGATAGGGTGTTACTAAAACGAGTAACGGAGTAATGAGTAAAGAGTAATCAGAGTAACCAGAAAACGAGTAACATCAAATGTGTTATACATTGAAAAATCGTAAATAAATAATAATGTATAATAATTAATCGTGATTTGTATTCTCTGTTGTGTTTTATGTACATGCTGTAAGTCAGTATGTTTCCCACCCATACGATAAATTCTCAGATGGGAAGCCATTTCAATGTTACGGCATACCGTACCCAGTACGTGCTGTAAGTCAGTACCGTAAGTTTCCCACCCACATGATAACCATTCTTATGGGAAGCCATTTCAATGTTTCGGCATGTCGTACCGTGTTCGTGCTGTAACTCAGCTGTACCGTATGTTTCCCACTTATACGATAAGCATTCTTATGGGAAGCCATTTCAAGCTGTAAGTCAGTACTGTATATTTCCCACTCATACGATAACTATTTCCATTTCTTTAACGAATGTCGAGTCTAGAAATCAAAAATTCCCAAGATCCAACCGAGCCGTATGTGAGAGGACAGTGCACTATCTGCTACGCTACCCTTGATTCCTAATAGCTCGTCACGTCATTTCTTACCCCTGCAACCTTAATTGTGGAAATAATTATATTTTTCTTCACAAATAAAAATACAATAGCTGATAGTGGAAGAAAACACAGAACAGATTTCACAAGAAGACGTGATTTTATTGGACTTCATTTGGTGATTCTTATATATTCATAACATGTCTCTTTTTTCTGAGACAGAGGATCAAAACTATGACAAATTACATGGCTTAATCTTATTGTGACTTGCACAAGGGGCTTACACTGCTAGCCAACCTTTTTGCAAGAGTGTCTTTTTTATAGTCTTGTACTAAGTAGTAATACGGAAGGTACGGAAAATAGCACCGAATTTTTGTTTCTCGTTTTAGAAAATTGGAATTTAAAATCTTACGAAATTTGTGTGTGTAAAAATTAAAAGTCGAAATTAGGCTCTTGTAGTACCAGGGGCAGCGGAAGCGGGGGGGCCGGTGGGGCACTGGCCCCCCCACTAGATTTTTTTGGGGGGGCTGGCCTCCCCAGAATATAATGCCTCACACACACAAAAAAAAAAACGCATGAGATTTGGTTATGATTACCATTATTTATTATTTTGATATTACATAATTTGCTGTATCTAAAAAATATACGATATATCTAGCGACGACTTGCATCATTTTTGTGTCTCTCAGCACAATTGCAAGTGGTTTAATGCGCCCAAAATGTTACTGATTGAAATATCACACATACACGTTTGTAATCAAGCTAAACAGGGAGGGGGGGGGGGTATTTTAAGGTACCGTGAAATACTGGAGTGCCCCCCCAAAATTTTTCAGCTTCCGCCGCCCCTGAGTACAAAGGTCCTTGCATAACCCCATCTGAGTACGTCCCTGGTAAACCTAGTCAAATATCTTATTAACAAATTTAGATAAAAAATAAATGAAATAATAAATGAATAAATTCTATAATTCTAATTCGATCTTTGGGCTTTCGCTACAGGTGTAGCTTAGGGCTCTGTTGTGATTATTGCCCCATGCTGTGATATAACAGCCGTAGTTTGCATCAAAATACTATGAAATTATTACCATGATCCTTAAAGATCCATTTTAGGTTTCAGCTACCGGCGTCTTTGCTGACTAACTATATTAAGCTGTTTAATATTCATAATTTGATTTGAAAAACATATATAAGCATGCATTCGTAGAAAATGAAAGCAAAATTGAATTGACGAATTTGTTTAGAGAGGGTGACACGTGACAGTTGTAACTGATAAATTTGTAGCCCTCTTTTTTAACGTCTCTGAATGAGACGGGACCGCCATTTTACGTGGTCATCCGATCCACGGCAAAGGTCTAATCATTTGCAGACATTTTTAGTGCCAACGGGCAGCACCTTATTGAGCTTCTACTATTCTCAAATGTTTTAAGACCATGAGCGTTTGTCTCGTATAGTACAACAAACTAACTGAGCTAACTCAGTCATAATTATTACTCACTACTAAATATAAAAGCTGGAATACTTAAATATGCTCCCGGACTAATCTAGTGCTACCTACCTCTATCTAAAATCTAAAAATTAAACCCTATATAAAACTTATCTTCACAAAGTTTTTAAGTGTGAATCAGTCAATCACGTATGGAAAAATGAAAAATACTTCCGGGTCCAAATCGAAAAGCAGTTCCGAACTGCTAAAAAGTCTATAAAGATTTCTTCTTTTCTATCTTACTTTTAATCAATTATAAATGTTTGCGCATCCGATAAAAATCGTATCTATTATTTTTTGAAGTGCATGATTCACTGCAATTGTAAAATGAATATTAAATTAAGAAATTTGAAGGTGTGATAATGTAGCTACGCACTTTTTCATCGTGTGTTGTCGGTTGAATGCGTAATGTTTATCAGAGTAAAATTGAATTAAAAAATGGAACTTTGGAAAACGTGATAACAATTGATAAAAATTCATAAATGATAGAATGATGAAAATTGATAAAAACGTATACACCTATTTCAAAAAACGTTGACATCGTCAAAGGCGATAGACGATAGGCCATTCCGACATGGAAATGGTTTCGTCAAGAGAAAATATTCATATTCTCTTGTTTCGTTGAATACAAAGAACATCGAATCAGTCTCAACACTAAGGTCTATGTTTTTGACGAGAATAAGAAGCAGAAACACAAGTCATTCCAGCTATTCTTGGATCTTGGAATGACATATATCCCATCGCTTTTCGCCTATTGTCTATTGCCTGTCGCCTTTGGCGATGACAACGTTTATTGAATTAGGCAGTATATACCTGAGAGCAAGAACATTGTCATATAAAGATAAAAAATAAAAAAATAAAAAATAGGGATTTATTATTTTTTGAGCAAAACAGGAAAAGTTATTTTATTGTTTTAAAAGCATAGACTGACATTTTTGATATTACCTTGTTGTACGAAAACAGTTATATTTTCATTAATCTGTGGAAATTTAGACTGAAATCAGTAAAAATTAATTCCTATTTGTTGTTGTTTTTTTCCTCATTTATATGACAACATTCTTGCAATTAGTCGTTATGTAAGCATTAAAAAAGTTCTGACTGCAGTTTTCAAGATAAGATCAGCTGTTTCGTGTTTCTAAAATGCAAGAAAAATTGTAGGCATCATTTCCTTTGAAATTTGAATCACTTTTTCGACAAGTTGCTGCTTCTGACCTGGTAGCTTACTTGCAATATCCTTTAATTCTTTTTCGTTTAATGGACAAGGATGAGCCACTTCGTTCCTCTCTGCCAACATTTCTTCCATGAAGTCAACTAACTTCTTAACATTATTTTCATCTGGATCAATCTTCTCGGTTTGCAATTTTTCCCACCTTCTTTGAGCTGCTCTTTGAGCGTCTCCAGTTTCACACAGCTGTTTAATTTTTGCATCAATATCTCTGAGATGTGGCTGCTTGTAATCATTTCCTCTTTCAAAGTAAACTGGCAAGACTTCCCGATACATTGCTTCCATTGCTTTCGCACACAGCTGACCAATGTATAGCAGCTTTTGAGATTTTTCCAACTTATCAGTTTTAGCCATGTATTTGTTCAAATCTTCCTCCTTCTCTTGAGACTTTTTAGTAAAATATTTTATATCTTCTTCCATCCTATTTCGAGATGTTTTCAACTCATCTGTTTCAGCCATGTATTTTTGAACCATTTTTTCCATAGTATCCAATCTTTTATCCTTTTCTGCCATTTGACACATAAAAGCGTTTAGTGTATGTTGAATGGAAACGATTTGGGTGTTTTTTTCCTCTATTTCTCCTCTAAGGTTTGTGATGGCGGGTTTGGTTGAAAAATATCGAACTTCATCTTCCAACCATTTTATCTTCTTCTTGTGTTCGTCCACTTCTTTTTCGAGAGCTTTTTTCTCATCTTCAAGCTCTTTGGTTTTCTCATCAGCTTTCTGTAGCTGTTGTTCCAACTCTGCTATCTTTATCTCATTATTCCTTACTTTCTGTCTTAATTCTTCAATGTCGTCATTTGGGTCTCGAGCTCGGCCACTCATCTTCAGTATATTGGTAGTTTTGCTTTGGTTTCCCTTCTATGTATTTCTGCAATGAATGGAAAGATTCTTAGCTTCCAGTTTCCTTGTAAGAGCATTTAATTTAGATTTAAAATGATGCTGTGACTAGAAACACATGCAGTACGCGTCGTGTTTCTTCTAACTTCTTCATACTTCTCTCTTCAAGAACATGCGCGCCTTTTCTATTTCGTTAATACTTTAATTTGTGCAAAATTGATGTTTATAATTTAAATACGAGCGTGTTATGTGCATGATAGACATTGCAGGTTATTGCAACATATTAGCTAGGACTGCGCGTTAAAGCTTACCAGAACGAGAGAAATTGTTGGCGTATCTCAGCAGCTTCATACATATGTATCAAATCACCTTTAGGCCCTACATGGCGTTTGTTGAGTGATTTAACTTTAAAACACATACATGAACACTGGGAACTATTTTTTGACACTTGTTCAGCAGGCTATGTCATTTGTCTAAATCAGTGTAAGCTGAAAGCTGAAGCTGTGATCAGCATCTCGGAAACTGAAAGGGGACGCCATTTTGTTCTTTTTTTGGCAATGATTACATTCATTACGTCAATTTGAATAATATCCGCAGTGCAACACTACATGTTCCTCAAAGGTCAATGTACCTTTATTTGTTAGACAGAGAATTTAAATTCTCTGCGTAGTTTAAAAAACATTTCCTTTTCGGCTTGTCAAAGTAACTCAAAATATTGTTCTGCGATTATGTTTTGTCTTTGTAGTGTTTGTTGTATGTGCATGGATATAACTGTTCACAACTGAAAACCGCTAAAACAAAGCGAAAAATGTTCTCAGTGATTAAACCTCCAGCTGATATAATTAGAACTTTGGACAACAAATCCTTTCATGAAGAAAAAGTAAGAAAAATCTTTATAGAGCTAACTTTTCGTTTTGCCAAACAACGGAATGACGTCACACTCGGTACTCGTATTTCAACGGACAWTTCTAGATTGGACGCAATCATTTCCCGTTTCAGATCATGTGCCATTCGAGGGTAAGAGAAACTGAAGTTTGACATTCCCTAGAGTAGAATTTCTTTGATTAAGGGTTTTGCATGAGAAGACACAAGAATTTGGATACAATTCAAACAAAGAATCTTATTCTTAAGAGACTGTTCTGAAATGGGGAACATTACGCCTAAAGTAAACTGAAAAGGTCTAAATATATTCCAACGATTTCAATTTCAATTTGATGACAGTAACAAATGACAGAATGTCATCCGTCTGTTTGCTAAAATGTATATTAAGCAATTATCTAAACGAGAGTTCAAGAAAGCAATTCAGAAAAGAGATAGTAGACTTTTGAAACTTCAAA